CAGGCAGTCCGAGCGGACCATTCAGATTTTGGAGGATATGCTCCGAGCTTATATCATTGACTTTGGAGGCTCGTGGGATCAATTTTTGCGTTTAGTAGAGTTTGCCTACAACAACAGCTGCCAGTCAAGTATTCAGATGGCTCCTTATAAGGTTTTATATGGTAGGCGATGTCGGTCTCCAGTTGGATGGTTTGAGCCGGGAGAGGCTCGATTGTTGGGTACGGATCTAGTGTAGGATGCCTTGGACAAGGTCAGGATCATTCAGGATAGGCTTTGTACAGCTCAGTCCAGGCAAAAGAGCTATGCCGATTGCAAGGTTCGAGATTTGGCTTTCATGGTTGGTGAGCGGGTATTGCTTCTAGTGTCGTCTATGAAAGGCATGATGAGATTTGGGAAGAAGGGCAAGCTTAGCCCTAGGTTTATTGGCCCGTTTGAGATTCTTGATCGAGTGAGAGAGGTGGCTTATAGACTTGCGTTGCTGCCGACCTTATCAGCCGTGCATCCAGTGTTTCATGTGTCCATGGTTTGGAAGTATCACGGCGATCCATCCCACGTGTTAGATTTTAGCACTGTCCAGTTGGCCAAGGACTTGTCCTATGAGGAGGAGCTGGTAGCTATTCTAGACCAGCAAGTTCGTCAGTTGAGGTCAAAGAATTTCCCTTCTGTTCGTGTTCTGTGGAGATGTCAGCCTGCTGAGGCATCGACTTGGGAGTCCGAGTCTGATATGCGGAGCCGTTATCCCCAACTTTTTCCCGACTCAGGTACTTCCTTCTTATGTCCGTTCGAGGACGAAAGGTTGTTTAAGAGGTGGAGAATGTGATGACCCAAAAGGGGCATCACTTGTGTTACAAGTGAATTTAGTGTTCCGAGACCTAAAAACCTCCTTTTTACCTCACCTTGATTTACATGCGTGGTCCAGACCTATATACGGAAAGCCTTCTATGTGAAAATATGAGAAATAGAAATTTCTAGAGTTTAAAATTTGATTATGGTTGACTTTGGTCAACATTTTGAGCAAACGGACCCGGATCCGTGTTCCGACGATCCCGGGAGGTCCGCAGTAAAATATGGGACTTGGACGTATGCCCGGAAATGAATTCCGAGAAGCCTTAGAAATCAATTTTTGAAAGAAATTATTTTACTGAATTATCTAAGAAATGAAGAAAAGAATTAATGTTTGAAACCATTGTTATCGGGCATGTATTTTGGTTTCGGAGCCCATTACAAACTTGTTATAGTATTTGAAAGATAACTATGAAATTTGGTAAAAACGAAGTTTATTTGACGTGAGTTGGACTTCCGGTTGAAGAGTTATGAACTTTAAGATGATGAAAATGTTGATTTTTGAGGTTTAATTCATGATTTTACATGTTATTTTGATGATGTGATCGTACGAGTAGGTCCATATGATGTCTTTTGAGTTAGTATGCACATTTGGTATGGAGTTTCGAGGGCTCAGGTGAGTTTCGGGTAGGTTCCGGAATGTCTTAGGCTTAAAACATGGATGTTGCAGGTTCAGAGAAGCACTTCTCTGAACCCGCCAGTGCTAACCGCATTAGTTTTGGTGTTGTCTGTGGTGGGGGCTGTGCGGCCGCACTCGATTTTGTGTGGTCCGCACAGGTTCACTGGTTCGACTTCGAAAGCCTATATTTTTTTATTTACTAACTCATTGGTAAGTGATTTCTAACTCATTTTCTTTACTTCTTAACTTTTTTTTACAAGATTTCATCCTAGAATCTAGGGTTTTCATGGTGGAATTGGGAACTTTGGGGAAACCTAAGAATATCGAAATTTGGGGAGTTAGACCTTAAATTGAGGTCGGATTCTAAAATAAATTATATATTTGGGTTCGTGGGTAATCGAATTTTGGTTCGAACCTCGGGTTTTGACCATGTAGGCCCGTGGGCGATTTTTAAATTTTGGGTAAAACTTTGAAAAACTCATTTTAATGCATTGGAGTTGATTCATTTAGCATTTATTGATGTAATTAAGTAACTTGTGACTAGATACGAGCGAATTGGTGGTAGAATCAAGGGGTAAAGCTATAATTTAAACGTGAATTGTGTTCGTGGCATCGAGGTAAGTGTTTGGTCTAACCTTAGTTTGAGAGATTAGGAGTTGTGTCTTATTTGCTACGTGTTAATTGTGGAGTACGACGTATAGGCATGGTGATGAGTATCTATACGTCGGTGTCAAGCATGCCCGCGAATCTTGTATTGTAATTGTTATGACTCCGTTGTAAATTATTGCACTTCACATGTTATTGAAATATTATTGTTCCCTTACCGGGATGTTTTTGAAATATTATTGTTCTCTTGTCGGGATGTTATTGAAATACTATTGTTCCCTTGCCGGGATATTGTTATATTGTTCTTGTTCCCTTGCCGGGATGTTGTTATATTGCTCTTGTTCCCTTGCCGGAATTCTTTGTGATTGTTGTTGATTTGTAACTAGGATCGGGTGGCAGGTCTGCCACAAGATAAATGAAATGGGAGCGGGTGGCATTCCTGCCACGAGATAAATAAAATGGGAGCAGGTGGCACGCCTACCACGAGATAAATGAAATGGGAGCGGGTAGCACGCCTACCAAGAGATAAATGAAATGGAGTGGGTGGCACGCCTACCACGAGATATATGAAATGGGAGCAGGTTGAACGCATGCAACAAGATGTGAAATGAAAGTGAATTCTGCCTTTGTTTCCCTTATCCTTGTTAGTAGTTGGATTTTGGTTCCTTTATAATTCTCTTGATATTCTGTTTTTACCTGTTATTCCGAGAAGCATGCTTTCCCCCTCCCATCTTTACTTGTTTATTCCTGCTTTACTTTTCGCTATATATTATATAACTGCACATGTTTATTTGGTGGTCCGGTCCTAGCCTCGTCACTACCTTGCCGAGGTTAGGCTAGACACTTACCAGCACATGGGGTCGGTTGTGCTGATACTACACTTTACACTATGTGCAGATTCCGGAGCAGCTCTTGGACCATAGTTTGGAGGCTACCTTCAGTTCACGCGGAGATCCAAGGTAGACCTGCAGGCGTCAGCAGGCCTTGGCGCCTCCTCTATCCTTTATGTCTTATTTCATCTCTTTACTTCAGAAACAATGTATCTTTTATTTTCAAACCTTGTATTTTGCAGTCTTAGACCGTTTGTGGTACTGTGACACCAGTTCTGGGTGATTAAGGCTTAAAGAGTTGTATTAGATTCATATTTCAGATATTTTACTACATTTCTTCCGCTTAACGAAATTTCTGCTATTTTTCACATTATTGCTTTATAAATGCTAAAAGGGTATAAAAATGGATAAAGGTAGTCTGTTCAATAATTGGCTTGCCTAGCTCACATTAGTAGGCGCCATTACGACTCCCAAGGGTGGGAAATCCGGGTCGTGACACCCAGAAGATGAGGAACCTGGAGATATATTAACACATGGTAACCCATCTGAATTTAACACTCCAGAAGAAGGCCAATCAGTTCATATTGATTATGAAAAACTTACTAAGGCAATGCAAAACCTTTGAATTTACTCTTTTTACGTTAATTTACTTGTTGTTAAATGTAAACCTTTCAATTTGTAAGTTTGAATTTTGAAATAAATGTAGCACTTGCAATTTGTAAGTGCAATTTTTTCTCATCTTCATTGTATTCTTTATATTTTTACTTTATATTAATATAACTTACAATAGTTATACAAAATTCAAAAAATAAAATTAAAAATTACACTAACCCGGCCTAGCCCGGCCCCTTGTACCCGTAATCCGTACGGTTCATTTTTTACCCGGATGAACCCGAACCCGTTAAACCCGACAAGCCCCAACCCGTAACCGGCCCAAACCCCAACCCGTACGGTTTCCTATTTTTCCTACCTAGCCCGACCCACCCGTTAGACACCCATAGTTTACAATCAATACTCCCTCCGGTCCAAAATAAGTAATTTTTTTGCCTTTTTTTATGGTCCAAAATAAGTGATTTTTTCAGATTTCAAGAATGAATTAATTATTTTTTTCCTACATTGCCCTTGGAGTAAATAGTGTTGGAGTGTGTGTTAGAAGTATTTATGTGAAGAGATAATAAAGGTTAATATGGTCAATTTCATAGCTAATTAATATTAAAAGGCGGATTTCTTAATCTGTGTGAAAACAACTAAAAATCACTTATTTTGGACGGGAGGGAGTACTATTTAATTTCATTCATATATATACAATCAACACACGCATAAAAAAAGTTATTGAATGTTGGGACAAATTCTGAAAAATAGGTTTTGGAGGTTAACAAATCTTAGATAAGATAATTATACAGTAAAGCAACAAGAATAATTTGCCGTTTGATTAACGTTAACTTCTGCAACAACAACAATAACCCGATATAATCCCACTAGTGGAAATCTGGGAAAGATAGTGTGTACGCAGACCTTACCCCTACCATGGGTAGAGAGACTGTTTCCAAATAGACCCTAGGCATCCTTCCCACCAAAAACTCCCTACCTTGCTCTTGGGGTGACTCGAACTCACGGAAGTGGGGGTTGCTTACCATCAGAGCAGCCCCTCTACAAAGATAAAATTAATAATAAAACCAGATATGGTGGAGAGCATTCTTGTCACGAAAGCTTTTATAAATGGATCAAGTAATCTTATAAAATCCAATACACAAGTCAACTTTATAATGTTTAATGAATGTTTCCATAATATACTCATATGCCAGTCTCCTATGATCATATAAGAGAGTTCAAACCAAACATTGAGATCCTTTCTGGCATGGATATTGCATCTGCATGACTAAATAATAATAGCAACATGTCCCCGGGCATTAATCATAAGAGCGCAACACGTGATGTTTGAGTTAAGTGCACGTCACGGGTTCGAACCCTGGCGTAGACAAGATTAACGTGGAGAAGAATAGAGGGGCAAGCCTATTACTCATGAGTTTTGAACTGTGCACCTTTGATTCTCAGGAATTTCTCGATTATTTAAATAAAATAAAAAGGGAACAACAGCAACCTGAATAATACAACATGGAGACTAGTGCAGATATGTTAATTAAGAAAGCTTTCAAAACTAGTACTAGATTCACAAACCTGAGCCAGTGTTGATAAGGGGTAAAGTATTCAAGAAAATTATGGTACAAAATTATCATATTAGACATTAATGATACGTTACAGATGGGAGTTTCAAGATGCAGAATCAGATGCATCAGGGACATCATCCAGGATGAAAGGACCAAGTTTGCCTGTTCTAAACAGAGTGAGAAATTTTTTTGACACCATCGTGCGAGCTTCTGATGCCTTATAAGGTATCTTCAGAGCACTTTGCAATGCTTCAAATTGTTGATCTATCAAAGTCTCCAAGTTATCTTCATCTTCCAAACTACCATTAAATTCCGAGAGTGTGGTGCAAAGTGTGCGTTGGACTTCGCTAACCATATCCTATACGCACAAGGAATTTAATCAGATTAGCATTTGATTTGATTTATACCTATCCATATTGTACACACTTGTAACGACTATAAATTCTCTGCTTGATAAATAATCAAGCTTTATATTTCTTCCTCATATTCAATAGGATTACCGAATATGTCAAAATGTTAAGGTAAAAAGCTAATATCGTAGTCTAACAAATGAATAAATCAAAAAATTACCTCGATGTAGTAGATATCGGATTTGTTGGGCGGCTTCCTTCTTTTTGGTAGAAGATCCTTGAGATTATATTCAGGTTTGTCATCCAACTCATGATGAAGGCCCTCAGATTCCCTGCCAATCAAGTGTCTCCAATGAAGAGGAGTTCCTCGAGAGTTTAGAACTGCCAACAGGTATTGAACAATTCGCTCCTCACCAACTACTGAATCTTTGACGGACCCTGCACAATCATACAGGTACAATAGGAGACTAAGTAAAGTTGAATCATAGAAGGATCATTCTAATTTCTTATGGGCCCTGCTTCAGTTTGGTCTGTTCTTGTCTCATTTACGGTGGCTTATCATTTAACCTTTTACCATTCCCTACCATACTTTAGAGGGGAAAAAAAGACAAGTTTAGATTTAATAATACAAATCGCCTGAGATTGATACTTAACATCTTTGCTTTCAGCAAAAGGAATGGGCTGGACTCTGGAGAACTTTGAAGACCAGGGGCTAGATTAACAAAATTACCTAGTATCCCGTTCAGTTTAGCTGTGGGAATTGCCGTATGTGTGCAGGGCCATTTATATGATAGATAAGAAAAAGACATGAAGCAATGCCTATGACATTATACAAACCAGTTGTCAAAGGCGCGCTTAAAGCGCGCTTAAGCTCTGAAGCGAGGTTCAAAACATGTTGAGCGCTTCGCCTCGCTTTGTGGGCGCTTCAGTGTCACATCAAGGCTCTAAGACATACTTTTACTTGCCAATGAGTGTAATCCCGAAAAGACGACACTAAATAATTGATATTTCACTTTATTGTAATCTTTTTTTCAATTTCTTTGTACATATATTTGTTATTCATGCTTATAATTATTGTTCTTAGACTACATATGCATATTTTTACTTTTTCTCTAGTTGTGCTTTTTTTCATTAAAGCCCATGCTTTATTTGCACTTTGTGCTTAAAGCCCCAAATGACCTTAGGAGTCGTTTGGTAGGGTGCATAAGAATAATGCAGAATAAGGTGTATTAGTTATGCTGGTATTAGTTATGCTGACATATTTCTTATCCATTGTTTGGTTTGATGTATTAAAGCATTGTGCAATTTCTAAAAGAATTGTTTGTCTACAAAAATGCCCTCAAAACCAATTCATCACTTTAACTTTCTAAATGAAACATATGTTGAGAAATATTTTTATATGAAAAAGTTTTAAAAAAATTATTTAATTTGTCTACCTATATTGTAAAATAGAACTAAATATTTATTTATAAAAAAGGAAATATGCTAAGTATTTATTTATTTACTAGGGCTATAATTTTATTTCTCACTATTTGGATTATTTTAAACTTCCATCAATATAATAACTAGCATATTTTAATCAAGCATAAATGTTGAAGGACAATTTTGTCTTTAACTAAGCTAATGTATGCATTAAAACCCATTGCATTGCTAATAACATTGTTTTCTATGCATTAGTTATGCATAGGATAATACCAAATAGGATGTATAACTAATGCTTGCATAACTAATGCATAGGTTCAAAATGTCTACCAAACAATTGTATTATTAATACACAAAGCTAATGCATGCATTATTTTATCTAATGCATCATACCAAACGACCCCTTAGAGCTTTTTTGCGCTTTTCGCCTTTGATAACACTGATACAAACAAACCCAATGCAGCTGGTTCAGGGCAAGTGTAAACACATTTATGTCTCGTGCAAAAGTTTTTATTCTACAACAACTATCCCAGTATAATCCCACAAGTGGGGTCTGGGGAGGGTGGTGTGTACGCAGACCTTACCCCTACCATGAGGTGGAGAGGCTGTTTCCAATAGACCCTCTAGCAAATACAATTTGTTAGTCAGTGGCTTGAAGATTTGCCACCCCTTACCACACAAGTATCTTTAATCCCAATGTAAACTAGAAAAAGGAATAAACCTGCTAGAGCCAGCTTTAACCCCGTTTCTATGTCTGGAATACTTGGAACCAGCACTCCTGGAGTGTCCAACACATATATGCTAGGTTGATGCGCAATCTGTAGATAATGATGAATTAGCATCAGAAACAATAATATGCAACACCAGACAATTCAATATAACATGCTCCCGTGTATATATAAAATCAAAAATATCATCTGATCGACAATTTAAAGCACTTAACTAATGGGAATTTTCTATAAGCTTTACTCTCATCATGGACTTCTTTTGGCAGTTAAAAGTATGTAAGTCCTTTCTCTCTTCTCGTTGAGGTAAGATCAATTAAAATGTATAACTATCCCAGAGAAGGTAACAAATTGGCCGACTATCAGACAAGGGCGTTGGCTGTCTGATGAAAAATAGACTTCCTCAGTCTGTTCTTTAGTTCTGATATGCTTGGAGACTCGGATGTGACTGGACATCTTCCAGTAGGATGTCACCGTGCAATCAAAAATATGCATAATCTTGAGTTAGCCTGTGCAAATATCCTGGTTTCTACTCAAAATGGTACGGGGATAGCTGCAGAGCTGCACGCTTCTGCTCAGGCATTTAATGTATCAGAGAAGAGGCAATTGGACTCAACCGTCTAATAGCTATAATCTCTTGGGCTTCAAACTGCAGTACATGCATTTTACTTCTCTAAAAATATCTATAAAACCTTATAAAATACCTAAACCGATGTGAAGCAGAATATGGTCAGCATTAAAGGAATGCTTTTTTATCCAAGTCAAACAACAAAGGACTAGACCAACTGCATAATGTATAAACTGGAAAATGAAACATTGCAATATATATCCAGTACAAATTTCTTCGTCTATAGTTCAACAGCATGGAGTGCAAAGAATTTTAGCCATCACTGACCAACTAACAAAAGCATAATCTGATATCCAAGTTGTATAAATATTCTTACCTTATATCCAGCAATATCTTGAGTAACACCAGGCAAAGGCCCCACTGTAGCTCTGTTCATCTTCTGCTGCACTAAGACAATGGTCAAAACCATCAGTGCTTGAGGTAATATACGAACATCCCAAAAGAACCAAGTAGTCCTCCAGAAGCAGAGGGCAGAATCACTAACAAAGCAAATGACTTACCTGGAAATCGAGATAATGCTATTTGATGGATGGAATTGATTAAAGCTGATTTTCCGACATTAGGAACACCGACCACCATGACAAGAAGAGTAGGTTCCCTTGTAATAAGTTCCTTCAGTTTAAGCTCCACAAGATCGAGAAGCTTCATCACAAATAATTGACAACACTTCAGAAAATCTTGGAGTAGATATAACTGGAGGAAAGGCATGTCTGAATACCTCACTGCAAATTTAGCATCGCGAAAATATTTTGCTGGATTGCCACAGTTTTTTTGCAGCGCAAAAACCATATTAAGGCAATAATGCCATTGATATCCTATGAAGCAGCTTAACTAGTTATTTTTTGCTAGATTTTTACTGTGCAAAGCCTGCGTGATAACAGTTAAATAAAGAGTTCTCTATATTTTCTAATGCTTCATATATGTGTTACCATTGTCATGTACTTTTCAATCTTAACTGTTGCAGTCCGGAATTTTAAGATTCCTGTGACAATAGAAAATTATTGTATCAAAGGAAGCAAGAATAGAGAATGACAATTTTGGAAAAAAAATGTATACCTGGAAAAAAGGTTTTTCCCTATCCCTTTTACATCTGGCTCACTAAAAATAAAATCTAAAGCACCTTTTCCCTCAGTGTTCCTTCATGAAATCTGGTCAATGTTGACTACATTCTGTGGTTCTTGGCCTACTTAGAAATTCATGGCTTTCTGGCATTATATAATGGGAAACTTGCTGTTACCGTGACTAAAAAAAAAAGGGG